GTTACTGTTTTGTTGCCCTTGTTCTTTGTTCCCATTTTTGTCTTCCATACTTTTCCTTTTGTGCTTTTACTTGGGCATTTTATATGATTCCATTTTCTCTCCTTTCTTAGAATATAGATTATACTTCTGTTTTTAGTGGTTGCCCCAAGGTTTGCAATATACACTTAAAATGAATCCAAGTCTGCTTACAGATAACACTGCCTTTCATGAGTAATGCAAATTCCTGTAATAATTAAATACTGCTAAATCTTCCCTCCTCTTTCTTGTATCATTGCTGTAATTCATTTCACTTAAACATACACATGAACACACACTACATGAACACATTGTTGCCATTTTTGTTTTGTATAAACCTATCTGTTAGAATAAGACAAATAAAAGCTTTCATTTTATTTAAACTTTTATCTTATCTGATGTTTTTTCTTTCTATATGTAGATCTGAGTTTCTGACCTATATTATTTTCCTTCTCTCTGAAGAACTTCCTTTTACATTTCTTGCAAGCCAAGTCCATTGGCAACAAATTCCCCCAACTTTGTCTGAGGAAACCTTCATTTCTCCTTCAGCTTTGAAGAATAACTTCATAGGGTATAGAACTCTAGGTTGGTGGTGTTTTTTCCCTCTCAACACTAAATATTTCCGTGTACTTTCTTCTTCTTTGCATGGTTTCTGAGAAGTTAGATATAACTGTTATGTTAGCCTATCTAGAGTTAATATGTTTTTTCCTCTGGATTATTTCAAGATTTTCTTATCTTTGATTTTCAGAAATTTAAATATTATATGCCTCAATGTATTTTTTAAAAATTTATTCTGCTTGGTGTTCTCTGAGCTTCCTGAATCTGAGATGTGGTAGCTGACACTTTGGGGAAATTCTCAGTCATTATTATTTCAAATGTTGTTTTCATTCTTTTTTTCTCCTTGTATTGTTATACCTTTTCTAGTTATATCACACTTCTTAGATATTCTGTTTTATTTTTTCTAGTCTTTTTTTCTTTGTTATTTAGGTTTGGAAGTTTTTTTTGTCATATCCTCAAGATCTGAGATTGTTTCCTGAGCTATGTTCAGTCAACTGATGAGCCCATCAAAGACATTCTTTATTTCTGTTACAGCATTTTTGATCTTTAAAATTTCTTTTTTATTCTAAGAATATCCACCTCTGTGCTTATTACATTAACCATATACTTTTGCCTGTCTTCTGCCTTAGCATTAATGCCCTATGTTGATGAAATAGTCTTACAAATTTTTTGGTCTGATAATTCTAGCATTCCTTTCATATCTGACTCTGCTTCTGATACTTGTTCAGTCTCTCCAACAGTGATTTTGCCTTTTAGTGTGCCTTGTAATTTTTTGTTGAAAGTGAGATCTGGTGTGCTAGGTGAAAGGAAATGTGATAAATAATAATATAATGGTAAGGTGTAGGGGAAAAAGTATTCTGTAGTATTTTGATTAGGTCTTGGTCTTTTTGTGAGTCTGTGCTTCTGGACTCTGAATTTTACAAATGCTTCTGTTTTTTTCTTTCCCACCCTAAAGTGAGACAGGATGGCTAGAGGCAACTGGAAATGAGTATTTCTCTTCTAGGTAGGCTAGTTTCCTTCTAGGTAGGTTAGTCTCTAGTTAGTTTCTACTGAAGACAGATCTTGTTAAGAAGAATGTAGTGTTCTGGCATATTTCCAAATGGTTCCTTTTCTCTTCTTCCTGCTAGAAACATGAAGAGATTTTCCTCTGATAATTAATCACTGTGAGGACTTGATGGAGCTTGTGGCAGTAAAACTCAAAAAAGTTAAGTGTCTTCTATGACTAGATCTCCCTTTGAGTTTTTGACTCTAAGAATTGTCCATTCTGAGCCTCCAGCAATTCATCAATTTCAGTTCTGTTTTTCCTACTCCAGCATTGGTTGCAAGGAGGATTTTGTTCTAGTAAGTGTGGCTTTCTATATTCACCTGTCTTTCCAATTTGGGGGGCACAAGTTTACCCTGTGACCTTACTTATATCTAAGAGGAATTTTTGATTTTTCAATGTGTTCAGCTTTTTCTCTTGTTAGTAAAACAGATGGAATGGAAATTTCTGATTTCTGAGCTCATTACATGCCAGATTATAAACTATAAGTCTGTATTTTTTTTTTAATTTCATATCCTAGCCTACCCATCTTTCTAAGTTCTAAACCTACCTCTCTAATTTCCTATTTGTATGGTCAAATGATATCTTCATAAGCTCTAATTGTAATTAAGTACATCTGCTTAGAGCTGTTCTCCTGTATGACCTCCTTACCTTGGCTCAGAATATGATCTTCCCTGTTACTTGACTAAAACTCCAACCTTGGTTATCTAACATTAGCTGTCTATTCACTTCTTAAAAAATGATTTTCTCTAAATCTTCTCAATTCCATTTCCAGACTTCCTTCATTCTGTTCTCTGTGCTCTTGTTTAGCTCCTCTTTTTTGTCAGCTAAGTAGGTTACAATAGTTTCTGAAAGTGACATATTCATATCCATTCTCAGTATCCTCTAATTCCTGTTTTCCACTGCTTCCAGTTGTTGTATCACTCTCTTGTCCTCTTTACTCTTCTTTCCCTTCAACCAAAAGTTACTGAGAGTTGGGGCGCCTGGGTGGCTCAGTCAGTTGAGCGTACGACTTTGGCTCAGGTCAGGATCTCATGGCTTGTCAGTTGGAGCCCTGTGTCAGGCTCTGTGCTGACAGCTCAGAGCCTGGAACCTGCTTTGGATTCTCTGTCCTTCTCCCACTCTGCTCCTCTCCTGCTCATACTCTGTCTCTCTCAAGAATAAATAAACATTAAAAAAAAGTTACTGAGAGTCTACCTGCTGGACGAAATGCCAGAGAATACAGAGATTTACAAAACAGAGTTCACAGTCTTCTTAAATCATGTTACTTTGTTGTTATAAAACCATCACTGGTTTCCCATTTCCTATGAATTAAGATCTAACCCTGAACCTTGTGATTATACAGTATGGTCCCACTTAGATTTTCAAATCTTCCCTTATATCCATCCTCCCTCTTATAATCCATACTTTTAAAAACATTTTTTTAATGTTTGTTTATTTCTGAGAGAGAGAGCATGTGAGCAGAAGGACAGAGAGAGAGGGAGACACAGAATGAGAAGCAGGCTTCAGGCTCTGAGCTGTCAACACAAAGCCCGATGCAGGGCTTGAACCCACAAACCATAAGATCAAGACCTGAGCTGAAGTTGGATGCTTAACTGACTGAATACCCAGGCACCCTTTATAATCCATACTTTAAAGAGATGTGGGTACTCTCTGCATATATCCCATTTATTCATTTTTTTTTTACGTTTTATTTATTTTGAGAGAGAAAGTAGGAGAGGGGAAGAGAGAGAGGGAAAGAAAATCCTAACCAGGCTCAGCATGGTCAGCACAGAGCCTGATGTGGGGCTCCATCTCATGAACCATGAGATCATGACCTGAGCTCTTCCTTTCTCCATTCCTCCCAGAACCTTTATTTTCAAAATGTATCTTAAAAGTCACCTCCCAGTAAAGCCTTTTTCCTCATTTTCCCAATGGTGTCTTCATTTATCCTCCCACTTCCCCATGCTTTGTACTTAAAATGACTTTTCTGTGGCTACTGTATTGTATGGTGCCCTATATATATATAATCATCTGAGGGTTTCTCTGATGTGTCTGATTAGAATTTGAGTTTTTAAAGGACAGTGGTAGAGTCTGTCATCTTTGAAATACCTAGCACACAATAAATACTGTTTATATAATTTTTGAATTGTAACTCCACCTTTGGTGAAGTATGAGTTCTTCAGGTCTAATTCAAATTCACTTCCTGTAAAATCTTCCCATAGGTACTATAGCACAACTGTCTTAGCACTTAGACAATTTTTATTGTCTTTCTTTGTGTGACACTTCATTAAACTCCTGAGGCCTTGCTCTATTAACTGTTGAATGAATCCCTAGTACACAATTCCTAACATATTTGCTTAGTAAATATTTGTTGAATAAGTGGAAAAATATTCTGCCTCTTTACTTTCACATTACTTTATTGGTATCTCTTGCAGTGCTTATGACATTCTAATTTTTTTAGGAAATATTTGTATTTTCTGTCTGCCCTTTCCTGGTTGTAATGCTGCATGGTAGGGCAAAGATCTAACTTGAATTCCTTGTAAAACCTCACTCAGGGAAACAAGAATACATTTGTTCAATCAGCAATTATTTTTTTCAACTCTTATTTTATGTCAGTGATTATTCTAGGAAATAGTGATATAAGAGCAACTAAGATGGACAGTAATTCCTACTTTCATAGACTTTACATTCTAGTTAGGGGGGAAACTCGATTAATACTTATTGATAAGGGACCTGGGTGACTCAGTTGGTTGAGTGTCCGACTCTTGATTTCAACTCAGGTCATGATCTCATGTTATCATGGGTTATTGAGCCTGTGTCAGGTTCTGTTGGGCATGGAGCCTGCTTGAAATTCTCTCTCCCTCCTTCCTTTGCCCACCCCCCTCCGCCTCCCCCTGCCCATGCTTGTGTGCATGCATTATTTTTGTCTCTCTCAAAAAAATACTTAACTGAGTTTAATATTAGGTGGAAATGCTAACCTGTGAAGAATTAGGTCTTTAGTTTTTATTTCCCTAGACCTTTTACTTCTATTTAATGTATTATTTATGTCTCTATACTTTTTAACCAAAAAACTTGCTTTTATTAAGTTTTTCTTTATGTGTTAGGAACTTTACATATTTTATCTCTGTTCTTCAAAAAAAAAAAACAACCACCAAAAAACACTGCAAGGTAGACATTATTATTTCTGCTTTATAGATGGGAAGATTGAGGTTTGGCATTGGTAAGTAAGTAACATGATTTAATCATGGCACATACCTAGGAAGTAGGAGAGCTGTGGGATTCAAGCCAAGGGCTGTCTATTACAGGAGCCTATATACACTTTCGGTATGATACCTTGTTTCCAATTTCTTTCCATTTTTCAGAACAAGTAAATTTTTAACCTATTTTTTTTCTTTCCTGATAGCCACAATATGAGAACAGTTCACTCCAGACTCCATTTTGTGATCAGCCAGTGTCCCATTCCCAGCAAGAAGAACTTGAGCAAAAGCTTGCATCCACTGAAAAAGAGGTTTTACAGCTCAACCAGTTTCTCAAACAAAGAATAAGCCAATTTAGTGAAGAGAAGAAGAAACTGGAAGAAAAGGTAGATATTTTTAATAAAGTTGAATTAGGTCAATAACACTGCTTTAACATATAATTCTTTGTCACCTACTGTATTTGAGGTACTATACCAGGTTGTACATTTCTCTTGATTAGTTTTGTAGTAACTTTTAGGAAAGCCTGTGCTATCTACAAAAATCTAGAGATTTTCTTGAGGGATTAAAAATGCCACAGTATACTGTATCTTGCTATCTAGTAGTGAAACATTTTTTTAAGTTAATTGCCCAAACTGGGATGTGACACAAATTAACTTTTTCTTTTCTTTTTTGGGTCCCTGTTTCTTTGTCATGTTGAGTATAAAGGATTGGTAAATGAAATAAAGGTGGTCTTTTTTCCATAAGGACATGACTTCACGTTATTTAAGCTGAAACCCTTAATTCAGAACAAGTAGTGAAAAACAAAATCTTTATGCACGTGATATATTCTTATATTTATTTGACCCTTATTCCTTCATATGAGTGTTTTCACATTTCATTTTTTCCATTATAGCATCGTCAGAGATTAGGTAGATTACCTGCTGGCCCTAACTTACTGAAGAAGCATAGATCCTTAAGCTGCTACTTAGTTGCAGAACTGGTTTTAGACTCTTGGTATACCCAGCTTATTATTCTATTAACTGAATCTTCCATTCAGGTGATCTTGAAACAGACACATGATTTCTGCAGGCATGTTTAGAGTTATTAATAGAGCACTCAGTCAACATTTTTGTGTGTGTATATATACATGTTAGATAAGTTTTTGATCTTCCAAAACCTGACAAAAATGTACATGCTTTCTCTTATCTATATGATGTATTTATGTTGGCTAATTTGAAAATAACTTCAGTACCTGTTTCTTGTTTCTTTTCTGTATTTTGGCGGGCTCCATACAATACCATAATCTGGAGGGAGCTAAGGAAATATTTATTGGTTCTATAGATGTGGGAGGGATTAAAATATTTTCTCACCTGAGATTTGTTAAATGAAAGATTGTGTGGAAATATTATGATGACTCAGCGCATACAATCTTTAAAATATATTTTTATGTTTTATATAGATTTGTCTCATCTTTTGTTCCTTTAAAAATATTTCAAACTGTTCATGTCCAAAATGCAATTCTTGTTTTGCCTGCTGAGTGCTCTCTTCTTAAACAATATAAAACAAAATTTTCTTCAGTGTTCATTACTGTATGTTCAGTTACTGATGCATGTTGGAAACCTTACCAACTTGATTAAGCTGGTATCCTACATATATATACAGTCTAACACTACCAGAGTGGTCCAAGTTATCATCTCTTGACAAAAGCTTTTGTTAAGAACCTCTTCAGTTGGTGTCTCTGAATCTAATCTTTTCCTGACTGTCTGCTTTCCCTTCTATCTACAGTTACTTTTTTTGGTTATTGTTACAATTCCATGTATTTTATTTATTACTATATATTTTAAAAATTGAAGCATAATTTATATATAGTCAAATCACAACATCTCAATGACTAGGAGTGCCTGGCTGGCTCAGTCAGTAGAACATGTGACTCTTGATCTCTGGGTCGTGAGTTTGAGCCCCATGTTGGGCATAGAGTTTACTTAACAAAAACAAACATTTCAGTCACCCAAGAAGTTCCTTTGTGCTTCTTTCTAGTCCAGTTTCCTTCCTGTTTCTGAATCACTGTTATCACTACAGATTAGTTTTGAATCTTGTTGGACTTCATAGAAATGGAGTCATACTGTATGTATTCTTCTGTGTTGGTTTTCTTTCACTTAATATCTTTGATATTTATTTATATTGTTGCATGTATTGGTAGTTTGTTCCTATCTACTGCTCAGTTGCATTGTATTATATAGATAGGTCATAGTGTATCTACTCTGTTGTTAATGGATATTTGAATTGTTTGCATTTGGAGGAAATTATGAACAAGGCTGCTGTAAACCTTCTTATAACAGACATTTTATATATAAATATTTTCATTTTTTCTGGGTAAATTCCTAAGAGTGAAATTTCTGAGTCATACATTTCATACAGTAGATGTTTAACTTACAGGAAACTACCTGAGTTCTGCACTCTCAATGACCTTTCTGAGGCAGTCATGGACTGGGGCATCCTGAGCCGATGGTCCAGTGCTGAGATGCTTCGAAGCCTTTTAAAAATGCTAAGATCCCCACGAAGCGTTACTATACCTAAGTTTAGCAAGGGTAGGAATGAGGTTAATGGGCTTCATCATTTGTAAAATCAGAGTGCTAATAAAAGAAGGCTTTGAAAGCTTCCAGTCCTGTACCTGCTTATGGTCCTCATTAAACAGCTTTATGTGGAATACAAATCAGATGGAAGCTAGTCGGGCTGGCTTTAAATTTCAGCAAGCTCTGTTAGATGGGAACACGGAACATCACTATACACTTGTAGCAAAACAAAACAAAACAAACAAAACCCAAAAACATATATACCAGAGAAATTCAGAAGGGGGTTGGTATTAGAGGCCATGGAGATGATGTGAATTTTTGAAGCGAGTATAGAAGCTAGTAAACAGACTCATGGGTAATGCATGAACTAAACAGCGCTTGAGGCCCACGTGAGATTCGATTGTATTCTTTCCTTCTGTATTTTCTCTCTGTTATTCTGATTAAGACTGATATTACAACAGAAAAACGTTCAGTGTGATAGTAACAAAAATAGAAGTTTCTTCTAGTTTATTTTTGAGAAAGAGAGCACAATCAGGCAAGGGGTAGAGAGACAGAGACACAGGGTCTGAAGCAATCTCCAGGCTCTGAGCTTTCAGCACAGAGCCCGATGTAGGGCTCAAAATCGTAAGCCATGAGATCATAACTGGAGCCATAGTCAGACACCTAACCAACTGAGACGCCCACGTGCCCCAGAAATAGCTTTTTGATAAGCTCTTTCTTGTATATGCCAGACAGCATGTTAAGTTGCATCAAATGCATTTTCTCATTTAATATTAACCAATCTTCACAAAAATCATAGTGACACATACTATAATCTCATTTAAAAAGTGAGCAAATTGAAGCTTTGAGAGAAGTTGAAAAATTTGTCCAGTTGGATGCAGGTAGAAATTGTTGAAAAGCAGGAGTAAAATTCAAGACAGTTGAACTTTATAGCTGATGCTTTGTTCTATTAATAATTTATTTTAAAAAGTAGAGAAAAACATTTCCTCAGTAATCTATTTGGTTTTAACAATTATACTTAAAGAAAAATATGTTTGTTTGTAAACCTCTTCTGAAAACAGAGCCCTCCTTATTGCCCTCTAGGAATATTTCAGCACTAAATAATATTTCCTTGAAAGGAAGAAAAGTAACCTTTTATAAATAGAATAGGGAAGATTTATTAGTGATACTTCATTTACCTGGAGGTAATTACTGGAGTTCAGATTTTAGTAACCAACACCAAACTTGTAAGTTAAAAAAAGAAAACAAAAGAGCTTCTCAGCAGTGAACAGTGCTAAGGAAAAAAAAAAAACAACAACAACCCAAGACTCAGTGATTATATGTAATTAGCTTGTGGTCAGCAAATAGCATAAATAGTATCCAGTAGGAGAGTGTTGGCAGACATTTGTGATCAAGGACAGCAAGCTTGACACAACAGCAAAGAAGACAATTGTCCAGCCAAAGAAAAAAAGAAAACCTTGATATCTTTGTATAATAGAAGATAACAAGACTAACCTATTCCATTGGCTGCTGTTTGAGGACATCATTATGTCACACTTAAGACACTTAAAAAATTAAACATAAGCATGAATCCTACAAAGAACACAATGACTCTAAACTCATATTTTTCAGTAATAACACTGATTGTAAATGGACTAAATGCTCCAATCAAAAGACATAGGGTAGCAAAATGGATAAAAAAACAAAATCCATTATTTGCTGTCTACAAGAGACTCATTTTAGACCTGAGGACACCTTCAGATTGAACGTAAGGGGATGGAGAAATAGCTATCATGCTACTGGAAGTCAAAAGAAAACTAGAGTAGCTATACTTATATCAGACAAGCTGGACTTTAAAGTAAAGGCAGTAACAAGGGATAAAGAAGGGCATTATATAATAATTACAGGGTCTATCCATCATGAAGAGCTAACAATTACAGATGTCTACACACCGAATACAGGAGCACCCAAATACATAAAACAATCACAAACAGAAACAATCTTATGGACAAGGAATGTGCTAATAGCAGGGGACTTTAATACTCCATTTACAGCAGTGGGTAGATCAACTAGATAGAAAGTCACTAAAGAAACAATGGACTTGAATGACACTTTGGACCAGATGGATTTAACAGATATATTTAGAACTCCACATCCCAAGGCCCTGGAATTCACTTTCTTCTCAAGTGCACATGGCACATTCTCCGAGATAGATCACATACTGGGACATAAAGGAGCCTTCCAATAAATTTGAAAGAATTGAGATCATACTGTGCACACTTTCAGATCACAATGCTATGAAACTTGAAATCAACCACAGGAAGAAGTCTGGAAAACCTCCAAAAGCATGGAAGTTACTTTAACACTCATGGAAGTTAAATGGGCCAATCAGACAATTAGAGAAGAAATTAAAAATTATATGCAAACAAATGAAAATGAAAACACAACAATTCAAACTCTGTGGGATGCGGCAAAGGCAGACCTAAGAGGAAAGTACATTGCACTCCAGGACTATTTCAAGAAATTAAAAAAGCGCAAGTACAAAATCTAACAGCACTAGATGAGAGTAACAAGAGCACCCCAAACCCAGTAGGAGAGAAGAGGAAATAAATAAATAAGTAAATAAGTAAATAAATAAAAATTAGGGCAGAAATAAACAACATAGAGACCAAAGAAACGATTGAACAGATCAATGAAACCAAGAGTTGGTTTTTTGAAAAAATTAACAAAATTGACAAACTTCTAGCCAGGCTTCTCAAAAAGAAAAGAGAGAACACCCAAATGGACAAAATCATGAATGAAAATGGACTTTTTACAACCAACCCCTCAGAAATACAATTATCAAGGAATACTAT